TCCTTCCTTCCTTCCTTCCTTCCTTCCTTCCTTCCTTCCTTCCTTCCCTCCCTCCCTTCCATCCTTCCTTCCTTCCTTCCTTCTTTCCTTCCTTCCTTCCTTCCTTCCTTGAAAATGGGGAGTTCTGGTGGACGTTGCAAAACATCCCAAAATGTGAAAAGAAGATTCTTTGTTGGGATAATGTTATTTTTTAGCAGCACAATTTTTGGAGAGAGAGAGAGAGAGAAGCAGGCAACGCGAGAGAGTCTCATCTGCCTATCAAGAAGGTTCTGTTGAAGGATGCCACAAGCATAATGAACCGTGTGGAGGACCGGCTTTGTAATTGCAATGCTACTTGAAGGATGCTTGGTTGTGTGTGTGTGTGTTTTGTTTTTGTTTTAAATAACAGTATTCCGAATAAGGTTAAAGGTCTTTTAAAGATATGCCATCTTGGATATATTTCCATAAGTTTTAAACATGGGGTAGGGGGTGGGAGCGAGAAGCAGTCGCACATAAAGGTAAGAAAGCATAATTGTTCTCCTGACTTTTTTTAATGCAATTTTGCATGTTCTCTTCTTATCCTTTCCCATGTTGCCTTGTAATTGTCAAGGTTCAATACGGGACACATTTGAGGTGCTTTCACAGAATTGTTTACTAGAGCTAACACTGTCTTCCATTTGCAACACTCCCAGATTTCCCACCCGCACCCCCTTCTGTGTTTATTTTTTCCAGAAAAAACAAAAACAAAATCCTTATATTAAAAAAAAAAGGCAGAAGAGCAGCACAATAACAGTTGAATACAAGCATCAAGGGCTCCTCTGTCCAGAAGTCTCATAATATTCAATGACTTTGGAAACAGAAACTTTGTAGTTGACCAATTAGGGCTATCTGGGCCAGTATTACTCTTTGTTTAATAGTGAATGCAAATATATTAATTACACCGTGTAGGTGCCTTGAAATCGATAGGCATTAAAATGGAAAAGTACAAGGTGTGCAGAACAAACGCACAAAGAAGTCTGATTGATGAGGAGGATCTTATTGGCTAAGGATTGGCAGTGATTGGGAACAGGGCAAACCAGGAAGCAGTCCAGGTTAGAAATTGAGTTGAATTAAGAATAAACAATCTAGATCAGGGGTCTCCAACCTTAGCAACTTTTAAGACTTGTGGACTTCAACTTCTAGAGCAAATCTGGCTGAGGAATTCTGGGAGTTGAAGTCCACAAGTCTTAAAAGTTGCTAAGGTTGGAGACTCCTGGTCTAGAATAAACAATCTTGCCAAGAGTCTGTTTGGTAAATCAAGAGCTGGATACATGTTTTGTTTCCACTCTTCTGTGAAATCGGCTTATCTTGAGCTATGAATGGAAATGTGTGCCTTCATTATCAATTGACTGCTATAATTGGGACCACAGGATGATAAGTGACCGTTTCCAATCAAATCAATAAATTTTCATTTTGGTGCAAAAGAGAGAGATAAAAATCAATTACAGATTTCCGCCAGGAAGGATCAGCCTACCTCATGTCTATCTGTGGGACTAAACTAAGCACCATCTATCAGACTTGCAGCTACAAACAATTACATTTGTTTCTCAGTTACACTGTGCTTCAGGATTCTCTAAAATGGTGCTGTTTGGGACTTTAAAAAATAGGGTGCATCACTCCTTATTCATATTGTGAATACAATAGTTTCTGGCAAAAAAAAAAAATCTTTTTACTGATACTCCAAAGCATGTACAAAGAATTCTATATATGCTCACATGAATATATATATACGTGAGTCTGTGAGTATTCATGTACACACACACAGGCGTACACTCGCAGAGAGAAGCTGAATTTGTTAAGCTGGTCCTTAGTCATTTGTATTATTAAAGTTTTAAGTTTGGAATAAAAATTGAAAATGTAAAACACAAATAATTTATTTCTTTGTGCATATTTATATAGCCTTTTAAAAACAAGAGAATCTTTTTTGCTTATTCTTTTACTGCTACGGACTTTTCAGAGACCTATGATTTTGTATAGGTAAATAAACTTTATGCTACTAAATATTTTCTTACTTTCTTTTTGTTTGTTTAAGGCTTTCCTTCTTGCTAAGGGCATTAGACCGTAAAATAAACATAAATAACAACACTGAGGCAAACTTGCAAGATGACAACTTCTTACAAATTTTCAATTACTACGCATGCCAGAACTCTCAGTTTTGTGGAAACCAGTGAATACACTTAAAATTTTGAAATTGTGGGCACTCAAAGATTTCTGCCATAATGGCAGAGCCATAAATAAAACATCAACTTCCTAGAAGGACAACAAGTGAAATTATTTCCCAGAATGGTTCTAGATCAGGCCTAGAGGAGCATTTAATTCCATTAAAAACGGCTTGAATTCATAGAATAGTCCACTCTGTACCCATTTTTTCTCTCTGCCAGCAAAAGGGAAGGTATCAGGAGTGGCACCTACTAATCATACAATGGAGTCTTGAGTTTTTTCACCTCACCTTGACCTAAGAAAGAAAGTTAAACTTGTCAGTGGCTGACCTAAATAAACTTCCACCGCAAACAATGAACTGAGGAAGCCCAGATAAGCTGCTTGATTGGCATGCTTCAAACACGCTTTAGGAGCAGAAGAAGAAGAAAAAACCCCACCACCTGTATACTCTGAATATGGCAGGACTGGCCCTTCAGCCCAAGCAGACTAGATCAAAGCAGGTGCATTGGAGAAAATGTCCCCCAAAATAGTATCTCCACCTGACATGCTGTGCAAGAAGACTTCTTAGATGCTGTCCCCTGAATTTTGCTTTGTGGCAATTCCTACCAGCACTTTTTCAAGGCAAAGTGGGGATGAGAAATAAGCAGTTTTCCTCCCCCCAGGTTTGCCATATTTGAAACCCAGAAGAGAAAAAGCAACAAGTGAATAAAGAGCTAAACATATACTGTTGCCACACTTAAAATTTGAGTAAAGGTTCAAGATCAAGATTGCAGAAAAGATGGATATTGAGAGGGGAGATCGAAGTCAAGAGACACATGTAAACAGATGGAGTTTTTCAAACAGTGACAGTGGGGGAGAATGAAACAAGATCTGAGCAAGAATTGGAAAATGCAAGGTCTGTACACAAAGGCATGACATTTGCTGCTATCAGATGTGATGGTAGCTGACAATTTAGATGGTTTTAAAAGCAGACTAGAATGCATATTGAGGGAGAGGGCAAATCATACAATAGCCATCAATGTTGATGGCTGGATACCACTTTCTGAATCATGGCTAGAATAAATTAAATACCTGCTATAGTGAAGACATGAAAGAAATGAAAGGCTACATCTGGTTGATCAGTGTATCATAGACTAGCAATAGCACTTAGACTTATATACCTCTTTACAAGTGCTTCACAGCCCTCTCTAAGCAGTTTACAGAGTCAGCATATGGCCCCCAACAATCTGGGTCCTCATTTTACCCACCTCAGAAGGATGGAAGACTGAGTCAACCTTGAGCCTGGTGAGATTTGAACTGCCAAATTGCAGTATAATTTATTTATTTTATTTATTTATTTGATTTGCCAATTGTTTACAAGATAATAAGTATAAATGTATACATAGTTGTGAATACATGAAATGGGTACATATAAGAAAAATAAAAGAATAAGAGAAACAATAGGACAGGGACGGTAGGCACGTTGGTGCGCTTATGCACGCCCCCTACAGACCTCTTAGGAAAGGGGTGAGGTCAATAGTAGACAGTCTAAGGTTAAAGTTTTTGGGGTTTGGGGAAGAAACTACAGAGTGCAGGATCTTGGCCTTGGTAGGGTATTACTTTGATCCAACAGGGCTCTTTTTACATTTAAATGATGGATATAGCAATAGCAATAGCATTTAGATTTACATACTGCTTCATAGTGCTTTACAGCACTCTAAGCAGTTTACAAAGTCAACATATTGCCCCCAACAATCTGAGTCCTCATTTTACTGACCTCGGAAGGATGGAAGGCCGAGTCAATCTTGAGCTGGTGAGAACTGAATTCCTGGCAGTAAGCAGTGAGTTAGCCTGCAATACTGCATTCTCACCCCTGTGCCACTATGGTTTCTTGTATAATGGAAAAGGGGCTAAAATGAGGGGGGGCAGTTGGCAACAGGATTATGAGAGCTAATATATTATAGACAGAAATCCTTGGATCTGAAACACTGAGGTGAATCTTACTGAATAGAAAGCAGTATAACCAGTTTTGCTATCCAATGCAATAGCTAATGAATGTTTTCCTGATGGAATTCAAGAATAATCAGCAGACCAACCCAAAAAGGTTGATGGTCTGCATTCATATAGTTATTGTACATACTTGCAGATCTTCAGCTACCAAGCTAATGCCACCCACAAATCATACCAGGCCACATCACACTAGAAGTTTAAAAATGTATTCAGATAAGAAAACAATTTGAAATCACATATTATAACAGACATATATGCAATACAATAAATAATAATTTTAAAACCATATACCCTAGTTGGAGCCCCCCACCCACCCACCCACACACACAATCAGAACATAAAACTTTCATGATACTGAACCCTGCTAACCTCAATGATGGACAGTCTGACTACTGTATTGCTGCTGAGACAAAGCTTCAAGTCAGCCAAGACCTAATCATGGGTGACCTGTTGTTCTTAACTGCATCTCCTAGAAAGTCCAGACAGAGCTGGGGTAACTAGAATCAGACTGACGACAAGTCAATCTGATCATTTTCCATCGCTTGTTCCAAATGACTAACAGATTCCGCAACCATCAGAATTTGAAAGGAGGCAAATTCTAGATGATTCACAGATCAGTGTTAGAACTTTTTACAGGAACCACACTTCCTAAGGTGGTCTATCCCTTAGAGCAAGGG